CTGCTGTTCAGCAGTGTGGTTAAGAGTCCATTTGGCTGTTAGCTGCTGTTGTAGGGACTTACAGTTCAGTCAGCGAAATCTGACTGCGAAAGGACTTATGGACCTAGAGTCAGAATGCAATAGGTCCGGGCTAGGAGCTCTTATAAGAAAGGTTTTATTGCAGTATAAATAGAAATTGAGGTTCAGCTCAGTAATATTAATGCTAATCATAGTGCTAGTAATTAGCTCTTAGATAGCATTTGAGCTTTAAAAAAGAAAGTAGTATTTCTACAGGTAGGAAAACTGAGACACAGAAAGGCAGCACGAGCAGCTTGTGCTCATCCAGCAACAGAGGCTGCACTAGTATTGTAGTATTCTGAATCACAGTCCTGTGCAATACTCACCAGACCATTAATTGCAGTTCAGATGACAGTAAAGTGGTCTTTCTTTGACCCAGGGAAGCTGTGGCACTGGCTGGGCACCGCTGTCCCCCAGCTGCAGCCCGACACGAACCTCTTTCCACAAACCCTGACATCAGTAGTTAAGGTTCTTAGCTACTGATGACTTGGTGCTATGATTATTACAATGAAGAAGGTTTGGGGGATATTTTAATCTTTAAATGTTGTATTGATTGACTTGAGTGACAGCACAACCATTTATCTAAGAATGCAAGAAATTTTGCCTTGTCATTAATGTGGTGCCAGCTTACACTCCAGCTTACAAATCCGCCTTTAGTTGAGGAACGCTTAGTTGCAGTAAAAACCTCGAACTTTGCATGAGCTCTTATTGAAGGGTTGTAGGTGACTGAAGTATCTGCTTTGTCTGGCAATCTTTAGACACTGCAGAATGTCACAATTCCACCTTCAGAAAACTGCACATCTCCTGACCTTTGCTGGACTGAAGGAAATTCAACATGGACCATCAAGAATGTAACTGAAACAGAATATATCAGTAAATGTAAGTAGTAGAACTATTTCTCCTTTGGTAATATCTTTACAAATGTATATAGCTTTATAATGGTGTTTACAGACCATTTCAGAGGTATATTGAGAGGCGTTCACCTGTATATGGACACAAGGTACTACTGCAGGTGCAGTCAGAGCAGCCTGTGCTCTGTTATAGCTATACAGCTGGAGTTACCAGCATCATCGTGGTATCTGGCTGCAGATGGATCTCCTTCCATGCTTCCTGATATCAGTAATTGAGGTCTTCAGTATCATGTCACCCTCGCTATTCAGGTGACTTGAGCTACAGTTACTTTGCTGTAATGGTTGCTTGGATATCTCCATCCCTATGTGTGCCCTTCAGGGACGCAGCCCTTCTCAGGCACGCAGCCACCTCTGGGAAAAGCCGACCCACCATCCGCCACGGAGCACACGAAAATTTCCTCACACCGTTGTACTCCTCTCCATTGCACATCACCCAGCTCCCTCCTGCCCCGCAGGGGTGCCCGCTGTGTATTTTATAAGCCTGTCCATACCAGAGCCCCTCTTAGACATGGCTTTTGTGGAGCAAGGGAGGTGGCGTTTTCACTCCTTGCATCACCCCCTCAAGCTGTGTGTGCCTTGGTTCCATTTTCTTAGGGGCATGTATGAAAACCAGAACTGGGCTTGGGATCAGAAGCAAAAATGTAGCTAGGCCAATTCATTTTCCTTTTCTTTTTCAGGCCGGCACCTCTTTGCAGACTCAGACCTGCCTGATCTTGCCATCGGTCTCATCCTTCTGGCTTTGAGCCTGTTTGTTCTGTGCTCCTGTTTGGTGATGATCGTTAAGCTATTAAACTCTGTCCTTAAAGGACAAGTGGCGAGCGTTATCAAGAAGACAATCAACACTGGTAATTACCTGCTTTTCCTGAAGATTGTTTTTGGGAATGACAAGGACACTGAGCACGTTTATTGATATCTCCTGTTCTGGCAGATATTACAGAATAGTTTAAAGAAAACAGTATTAAACCAAAATCGCCGGCCCCTAACATTTTTTCTCCTCAGCATGTTATTTTCTTTCTTTTAAAAATCTATCGGTGAACAGCTTGCTTGTGAACTGCAGCAGATTAACAGCAACAGAAACCAAAGTCCAGGCTCTGTTTCTTGATGTATAATCATTAGCTGTTAGAAATGTAATGTTCCCATCCTCAAAAGACAGTGCTGAAGTGCTGAGATTGAGATTGCCTGCTCTGGCACAAAGCCTGCATGTTTCTTCTAAAGTAAGTTGAAAAAAAGTTGTGGTGATCTAATTCCCTTTGCTTGCCCTGTTCCACTCCTTAACCGTCTCTTCAGTAGGATAAGGCAGCCCTGAATAGTGGTACTTGCTGTCTTTCGCTGTGTTCTCCAGGTGTTTTTTCAGCCTGGATCCATTGAGTGCAAATGTTTTTATTTTTCACTTGGCTGCTTTTTCTTCATCCTCCCTTGAATGGAGAAGTTAGAACCCGTAGCAGAGAAAAGCAACCCTGGCATGTCTCTGGTTGTGGTTGAAGAGAGGGTTCACAGAAATGGGGAAGGCAACAAAGTGGTCCCCATGTTGTCTTCTCTTCTCCCGGGCAAAGAACACTGCCCAAATCAAAAACGAAGGGTAGAAAGTTATCAGCTGCCAGTTACTGTCCATTTGTGATTTACTCTGTTCCTCTGTGTCTTCCTGACTGAGTAATTCCTGACTTCTTGGCTCACTCATAAATCTGTAGAATACAGGCGACCATTGTGCCTAGTTTCTCTGATCAGTGTGATTAGCTTTTCTTTGCAAGAGTTAACAAGTGAATTTTTAGGAGGTGATCTGCTTGAAACTAGTTAGAACAAACAACCCGATTTTCTCAGGGTGGTCTTCAGAGCTTTCAGAAGATCCGATCCATGCAGTGGGTGCCTGGTTGCCAAACCCAAGGCACTCAAGACACCTAGAAAGTGTTGTGTTGACCTCTGTGAAAACATTTCTGGTACCTAACTGTATTACAACATAAATGCTACCCTAGGTCAGGACAAATATCTGCCTAGTCTAGTATCCATCTCAAAATGTATCCAGTGGTGGAAGGCTGGAGAAGGAGCACAGCGAACAGGGTAAATTAGAGTAGTAGAACCGACTCTGACACAAAATCGTCATGTAAGAGAAAATATGCAAACAATATATCTAAAATTGAAATGCTTAATAGTCTTTTCACTGCTGTGTTACTGTTACACAGAGCATTCTGTTATACTGAAGACAATGTTCTCCCTCTGTTTTTTTAGATTTCCCATTTCCTTTTACTTGGCTAGCTGGATACCTGGCTATGCTCGTAGGGGCTGGTATGACCTTCATTGTCCAAAGTAGTTCTGTTTTCACATCTGCTATTACACCCCTTGTTGGTAAGTTGTCAATACTGTATTCTTTATCCCCATGTTTTATCTTCTCCATCATTCTGAAACCACTCAATCCTGTTTCTTTTCTCCTAGGCATTGGCGTTATAAGCATTGAGCGCTCTTATCCCCTTACCTTAGGAGCTAACATCGGCACAACCACGACAGCTATACTTGCAGCTTTAGCAAGTCCAGGGAGTACATTAAAATATTCATTACAGGTCAGTATAAACCAATGCTTCCTTGACTTCATTTAGAAGTTGTAACTTTTCTGAAGAAAAACCTGACAAAATTGTCTTTGATGCAAATGGATGTCATGCTTGATTTTGAGTTATTAATGGCAGCACATTAATTTCAACTTCTAGAGCAAAAAGCTTTTAATAAGCATTCTCAGAATGTCGATATATAGCAAAATCTTGCTTTCATAAATTAGGCTTGACCTGATTGAATTAATTCAAAATTGAGACAGGGTTGGCCACTTGACCCCCAAGCGTGGGGTCTCTGCAGCTTAGAATTCAGTTCCCACGTCTCTGACAGCCCTCTTAGGTAGTCCCCTGTGAGGGTTACTAATTTCCGTAAGTTCCCTCCTCAGGACCCTAACGCTGTTCATGCAGTGTGTAGGGACTCCTGTAACCTAAGTGAAGGCTGCACAACCCGTAAGATAGCAAGCTGTCTACCTACCTGAGGTTGCAGTGAGCATTATGACATCTATTTTCTCATTGTAAATCTAATCTGAGTGGGTTTTATTGAATTCCTTGTTGCCTCAGACTATTTGAAAAGTAGGCAGCCTGGCTTTGGGCTCCCGTTTACCACCCGGTAAGGAACATTCCAGACAGAAGATAACATTTGAATGAACCCTCTACATCAAAGAGTGAAAAGATAATGAAGTTTCCTTTGTGAATAGGATGACTGTTTTTCACTAGCCACAATAAATTAAGAAAATTACAGAACTCATTTTATTGTCCTCAGGCGTGATAGAATAGGTGTAATCATGAGAAGATACTATCTTGACCAAGCTCAGATTTCGTGATAACTTGCTGTTTTTATAACGTACTTTAAAAATAAACCCCTGTACTTTCATGTTCACTTTAGTCTGATAACAGTTACAGAATGAAAATAAGATAAGGTGAGCAGGGAACGTACTGTTTTGTTCAGTATATGCTTATTCTGTCTAAGCGATTTCTGAAAGCTTTAGCAAGTAAGTGTCTCTTCACGCTTATTTTTTAAAAAACAATTTTGAAGAATGTGAATCAAGTTATTATAAAAGACCCAGACACGTTCCAGGAATCTCCTCAGTGCCCTATAAACTTTCAGCTAATTTTTGGAAAATCCAGGTTCGTACCATTAGCAATTTCTCAATAGCCTGTATGCAATATCTAATTTACACTTCCCATCTTTTAATTGAAAACTTATGGATGCAGAACTCAATAATGAACAGTTCTTGTGTAGTTCTCATGCCTTACTAACAACAGGACTGTTTCCTGATAGCTGTTTGGTTTGTCAGCTTTATTTCTGATGGACTCCATTTCTTGCAGTTGAAAGCTGCATTTTAAGACTTCTCCATCTGCGGGGAGATATGTCGTCCCCTTCAGGCTTGCCCTGTTTCCAAATCCTGTCCCCTGTTTGTAGGCAGTGGTCTTCACAATGCGTGAGGTATCGCCGAGTCCTTGCTTTGTGCTAGGAAAGGCCTTGCAGTGGAATGGCATGAAAGACAAGAAAAAACAGTGGGACGCAAGGGAAGGGAAACTGTGGAGGCTTGGTGCCACTGGAAGTTATTATCATCTGAGTAGGAGCATTTAAAGGCGTTTTAGTTAATGAACTTCTCAAATGTTTTTGCTTTCAGATTGCCTTGTGCCACTTTTTCTTCAATATCTCTGGGATTATTCTGTTTTACCCACTACCTTTTACACGGCTGCCAATCCGCATGTGCAAGACCTTGGGAAATGTAACAGCCAAGTACAGATGGTTTGCTATATTTTATCTTCTCATATGCTTCTTTCTTTTGCCTTTGTTTGTATTTGGTCTGTCACTGGCAGGCTGGCCCGTCCTTTTGGGTGTTTGCCTTCCCCTGTTTGCTCTTTTTATTGCTGTGATTGTAATTAATGTTATGCAGTCGAAGCGACCACATTCACTGCCTGAGAAGCTCCAAAATTGGGATTTCCTACCCATCTGGATGCACTCCCTAGAGCCCTGGGACAACATAATTATGTCTTCGCTCTCCTTTTGTGGGAAACACTGCTGCGGCTTCTGCAAGTGCTGCAAAGTCAATGCAGAACAGGAGGGTGCCAAAGACAAGCAGTTAAAAACTATGGAGGTTTATGAAAACACCATTGCAATGGCTGATGAAGAAAGAGGTGGAAGAAGGGCACCAGCTGCAGCTTGTGTTGAAAAAACAGGCACAAACAACACAGCCTTATAGTAGCAGATCAGCCCATATTAGCAGAGATACAGCATAGGACAGTCAGGCTCTTGAAAACCACCTTGGACAATGCACTGAGGATAGAGTGAACATTTTGTTAGGTTCCTGCAGCCAGTGATATATCACTCATCAAGGAATGGAGTCAAACAAGCTTGACAGAGTCCCTAGAAAATCTATGATCAGTTGAAAAGCTAATGACAGATTTGCTTACAGACGATCTACTATGCGGTACCTTCATCCAATGCTATCGGTAGCAAGCAAAAGAAATCCTAATGTAGTCCCATGAAGAGAGGGATGAAAGGAGTGGTGATCGATTCAAACTTAATTAAAAACAAACAAACAAACAATGCACTTGTAGAACACCCTTTCTGCTTATTCAGCAGAAGTTACTTTATAATACCTAAAAAACTCTGGAAATTGAAAAAAAGAAAAGGAAAAAAAAAAAGAATCCTAATGTTTTCATTGGCCTGTTTGCAGTGGTCAGAACGGGAAACAGTAGTTTTCCTGTACGGACAAAATCTATTCCATGTGTGTGAAGGAAAACAAAATGCTGGGACATCCTTCAGAGTCTCTGGGAGTCTTACTCTGGCATAAGGGTGTGCATAAGCCCCTTTTGAACCTGCTCTGTCTACGTTAACACTGGGGACAGGATTTACAATCTTTTATTATCTTACACTAAAGGCCATAAAAGTAATTGCTGATGCCTCTGCCTGCTGAAGGTTAAGCACTGGGTTTGGAGATGCAGGGTGGCTACCGAAGGGCTTGATGGACTCAGGATGTGGTTGCGTGGCCATTCCTCTCTCTAAATGGTCCTCACCGATCCTGTTCACCACGTAACCCCACAATCAGAGGAATGGTGCAGGAGGGAGGACAAGTGGCCAGTGTAGGGGAGGAGACAGCCGCCCAAGCCTGGGCTGACGCCAGGAGATCTGTGTGCAACTGTGGCTCCGTTTGGCTGAGCCACAAGATGACCTTTCCGAGTAGCGGTGGAGACTGGCTTTACAGCTACAAAAGAGGGAACCTGGAGAGCAGATTATGGCTAGCGTGGGACATATGGTAACGTTTACTGGAGAGAAAGGAGTGTTCGCTCTGCACCATCGCTTTGTGCTCTGAACCACCCTCCTTGGAAGTAATGTGAATTTTACTGGCAATTGTATATAGCAATCCAAATCCCAAATAAAATCTGTAAGTAGTGTAGTCACTACCATGTGTAGTCAATCCATAGATAGTGTAGCACTTGGTGGGAAGCTGCTTGTGCTCAAATCTTACCGTTACTGATGTTTTAGTAAATGCTCGTGAGGCTGCTCTGAATCATGGGCTGACAAAAAGCATAATATCAATGCCAGAAAAAGAACATTTCAAAGACGCACTGAGTACTTCTGCTGGCCTTCACTAGCTTAGATATTAGCGAGTATGGGATAATATCTGAAGTTGAACCACTAACGTTAAAAAAAAATCAGGTGGCTGAGTGTAGGCCACGTGTCATTTAAAGCCAGTTTACGTGGCTGAAGTGTAGATTAAATTTGTAATGGAAATGCTGAGAAAACCCTTAGTTTAACATAGCCGCTCAGTGCTGCTAGAACACATTTACTTCTGAATAGTTGTTTGTTTTCTGTAGAGCTCTGGAATTCAGTAGGTCGAATATGTACATTTTAGAAGTGAAAATTGTTTTCATTTACTTTTTTAAACTGACATTTAAACTGGCAAACTATGTTGCTGAAAATGTGTTTGCAAATTGCATTCACACTCAGATTCCAACTGTTTCTGCAATTGTGAGCCAGTGACAAAATGCTTAGAATCAGTTTTGGTATAGCTCTGCTCTTTTGAGGTTTAGTAGCAGAGAGCAGAGTTATGCCAAGCTATTATTTTAAAAATTATGTTCCTTGTCCTTCCTATAGTTGAAACAGAATTTTGTCAGCATCTCATTTTTAAAGTGGAATTTTGGTATCTTCAGTAATTTTTCTTCCTTTTATTCTCACAATTCTGGATGCTTTCAGAATCTGTTTCTTTAAATCCCAGCATGCGTTTCCCATGCTCTGTTTCTCTGGGAAAAATATGAGAAAAATATCCAGAATTCTTTCCAGGTTATCTCAAGTTTTCATTGACCACCCATTGAAACAGGAAGCATTTTAATCTACTTTTACTCACTTCTTAAACCACATGCACCTTATTTTGCACCTTGAGGTAAAACCGTCAAGCACAGTGATAACAACTGTGGGAAAGCAGTTCTTAGAAAAGAATCAGGGTAATAATTGATAGTCAGACATATTAGTATTTTGTGGTTCCTCATTGTAACATTTCCCCTATGATATATTCAATTCTTACTCTCCTCTCTCCTTGCTCCAGGCCATATTGTGCCATTGTTTTAGGCAGATTCTGACAAAGGCTTCTGTTTAATACTTGACAGCACAACATGTCCTGGCATATTTCCCCCCCTACTCTTACCAAAAGATATTTACACTTTATTTATAATTATTTGAGTGTACAGAATTTTTCGTAAGTTATACAGAAGAAGGCTCATGATTGTGTTATACGTTACATATTTGAAAACTATGCAATTTTTATCTATAAAAATGTAAAAAGGAACTACTGTATATTTTGTAATATAACTTTTCAAATTGTTTGTAACTGTGTATACTGCATATTATGGAGGCTGTTGGCTCCATCAATAGGTTACGTAAAGATTGTTAGCAATGCAGACACAAATTTCTTAAAGTAAAGATGAAAAACACCTGCATATTTTCATAATATGGCTTAATGCACAAGGATATCGAACTCTAGTTTTCTAAAAGATTTGAATTTTCTGTAATGAGGAATTTTGGAAATACAAGGTTTCTAAAATACTTTTTTAAACTCTTAAACACTATATCTTTTAACTGTTTTGAAGACAGTATATGGCTTTATACTTTGTCATGAATATTCATCTCGTCTGTCCTCGTGCATTGAATGTAAAAATAAAGAGAAGTTTTAAAAAAAAAAGATCTTTTAATAATATCTGTTTATATACATATCACGGAAGCTTGCAGAAAAATAAGCGTGCAGACAAGTTCTAGTCCGAGCTGATGCAAACGTACAAGAAATGAGGTTAGCATCGAGCACTAGAGAAAACCACCAGAGGCCTTTGCGTCCAAAATTTTCATATGAGAGAGAGATTTTCATATGAAGAAAAATAAAAACAATTGCTCAGTGCAATTGTGGGGGTCAAGATATTTTCCGGCAGGGTTCTGCAGACTGTCCTCGGTGAAGGTAAGCACGGGAGAGCAAAGCCAGGGCTGTTGTAACAACAGGATACATGATGAGTTATAGAAAATTACATGTATCGGTACCCTAGGCTCACATTCTCCCTTCTACATGAAAGATGGCCAACAGAGCGTTTCCAAAATGCTTCCTATATCCCATGATCTGAGTGACGTCTGGCTTATAATTGGGCAAAAATAGCCATCTTGCTCTTTTTTTAATCACACGTGACCTATGGAGCTTAAAATTAAGCAGATGGAGAGAAATAAAAAGTACTCCTTAAAATGCCTTAAAGATTAATTAAAAAGGTCATTAGACTTCCTAACTATAAGCTCAACAGTAGCTGAGGAACCAGCCCCAAAAGCAACTGTAATTCCCAACTACACCATATTTTAGTGAAATGAAGATAACAGAAGTATTTCTTAGAACACAAATATTTATGTACTACAGTGTAAACTGTTGTCTTCTAAAAATGTAAGCAGTAAGCACCCTAGGCCCGTGGTTTAAAACTTATAGCTTCTTACATCCATGCAGAAATACCGTAATTCTGTGTGCCATCACCCTCCATGACCGCTGTCCATCAGGAATCAAAGTGCATCCAGGAAACACGCATGGGTTGTGCCATCCATCTCACCTTTTCCAAACTCTTCGCAGAACTACCTAGGGCAAAGTTCAGCAATGCCTATAGGTATGTAACAGCAGGTATGTCATGAAATGCTACACTGATCAGAAACCTTCAAAACGTTCATCCTGCAGCTAATTGCCTAGTTGCTCCTGCGACTGGTCTCAGTCCTCTTCCTCTCTGCTTGCGACTTAACCATGTTGTCCACAGCTCGCTCTGGTGCTCCGGGGCTTTTATACCCTCTGATAAAATTCCATGTTCGCTTCCCCCACTTTCAAGTTCCTGATAGCACTGCATTTAACTGCACCAGGCCTACCACCACAAAGGGTTCTCATTAGTCAGACATGCAGGTTAAATGCTTCATCATCTCTTTCTTCAGCTTACCATGTAGTGGTGGGCACCCAGTCAGGTCCCCAGGACAGCTGCTGGCCATTCCGCTGAGAAAGGCCGTGCTCTGATTTACAGAAAATTATTTGGGGGTGCAGACAGGTGTGGTACCACCGGCAGTAGCCTAACCAACACACAATAGCAAAGGATCTAACCCCCTCCGTTAAAAATAAATAGTGAGCAGTGCTGAGCAAAAATCCACTATTTCAAAAGCTGCGTGAGGGAGGCTGTGCTCTACACAGATACCAGGGAATGCCAGGCCACACTTCAGCTGCATAATTTCGATAGTCTGTGCTTCCAGGCAAGCGCTTTATCTGCATTCGGATGTTTCTTTCTCTAGCTGATGGCCAATCCTGGTGTTGCCACATGCCAAAGGTCTGACACTGTATGTGTAAACCCACTCATGATATTTTTACAGTGAATACTCTGTAGATCTTAGTCCCTTCATTACAATTCCACTACAAAGGAAACACGTGATTCATACGAGAGAGCTGAGTGTTTACTTTGCCTATTGGATAGTAATTATACTATCAGTGATTTTCACTGAGCTGTCCCTAAGCGGGTTTCCCCTAACAACTGAGATCCGAGTGTTTCAACAAGATGGAGAAACAGAGCGGAGGCTAGCATTAAAATGTGACAAACATTCCATCTTACTCAGCACCTGATGAAATTCCCTAATTGCCATTTACACTTTTGGGATGTATCTATTTTTTTACCCTACTCAACGTCTAAGGACACATTACCACGGCATAAACAATCAGGGTAATTACAGGAGAAGATATTTTGCAACCAACACCACAGTTGATAGATTGGGGTTTTTTTACACAATGCAAAAAGCATAAATTACAGGGCACGCAAACAGCTTATGGACCAAATGCTGCCCTTGGTTAGGCAACATGCAACCATAATTGAC